AGGTAAAGCACTCTCTAAGCTGTTGATATCACTAAGGGACAAACAGCTTATTTTCAAGCCTTGCTTCCCTTCTTTCTGCAGCAGAAGTAGCAGGAGCGGTTAGGGAGAAGGGTCATTGACCGAGGTGAAACCTCCAGCTTTCTCAAATTACATCACACATTTTTGTAGTATCTTAACAATCAGTGGATTTATGGCGAGTTCTGAAACAAAATTTTGCTATGTGGAATGTTTTTGTTCAGGGTGCCATCTACCCACTTTCACTTAGAGCATCTCCAGCCAATTGTTCAGTATCCTGTGTCCACTAAGTATATATAGTATTTATTAGTCTGTTCTAGGAGTGCCATCTTAGGTCTTCTAGCAAACATTTGTTGTATTTTTCAAGAACTTGTTGCTTTCCCCAAGTTTGTACTTTTCTTTGATACATAAAATGAAACTGCTAGTGTGTGTGTGTGTGTGTGTGTGTGTGTGCGCGCGCGCGCGCGTGCGTCTGTGTGCGTGTGCGTGCACGTGCATAAGCTTTCATGGGTGTATCTGATGACTGGGATGACTGGGTTTACTCAAAAATATTTCTATCAGAGTGTCTCAGGTTTTTTTACTTCAACAAACTAACATGTCTCTCTTACTGGGACTGTATACAATTTCTAAATCTCTTCTCTGCTTTCAAATTGTTGATGTACACCTTTTACCATGGCTACAGGACTTCGTACACACATACAAGCAGGAAAATAAATACATTATAGTATTAATATTTTGAGGTAACATCACTGCCAAATACATTTCATTTTAAGGAAACAAAGATCAAATTTGCAACAGTGTAGTATGGGGGAGAACTAACAACTGCAAATGTCTGGTAACAGATTAAGTCATCTCAGTAAGAATTCTTTCCAAGGAAACATGCAGACAAATGGAGTATTAAACATTTTAAATAAAGCAGCATGGCATAACAGGATTGGGAGAAATATTATCAGATATTAAAATACAAATGAGGCCTGACATTTCATGGCAATCTTATGTTTGTTTTGATTATACAGCAGGCAATATAGGAAGCAAGTAATCTTCACAAAACAATTTGCTATCATGAATTAAACATCCTGAAAGACATTATCAGTCACATGAGGGAGGGCTGGAATCAGCAACAGTTACATTTACTTCTAATCTCTTATGTATCTGAATATGTATTTCTTATCATTAAATTACTGCTAAGTAGAGAAATTTGTCAAAACCTTTACAATATTGCCCTCTACAGACCAATGTTAGATATGACTTTAATTTATACTGTACATTCTTGCTAATACAGTATTTTGGATGGCCATACATAGTGACACACCCAACCTGTGTCTACATATATTGTCCTAGGTCATTTCATCTCACATACCTCATTGAACTGTGGGCGATGAAGCGAGAGGGGAGACGGCTGGAGCGCAGGTGGAGGAAATCCCGCTGGGAGTCCGACCGAACACGACTTAGAGCCCATTATCGGGCCTATTTCGTGGCAATACGGCTGGCGAAACGGCAATATTTCTCCAGCCGTATTGCTTCCTCAGAATGTCGCCCAGCCGAGCTGTTTCGGGTGGTCCAGGATCTTCTTCAACCGGGAAATCCGGTGGAGGTCCTGGACTGCTCATCAGCTCGCTGTAATGAGTTTGCCATCCATTTTGAGGAAAAAATCGCTCAGATTCGCAGTGGGTTGGACTCCACAGTTACTGCAGAATCAGAGGATGTGTCCAGCGCACCGTGCTTTGGTCAGCTTATCATTAAATTACTGCTAAGTAGAGAAATTTGTCAAAACCTTTACAATATTGCCCTCTACAGACCAATGTTAGATATGACTTTAATTTATACTGTACATTCTTGCTAATACAGTATTTTGGATGGCCATACATAGTGACACACCCAACCTGTGTCTACATATACTGTCCTAGGTCATTTCATCTCACATACCTCATTATGTTTCAATAGCAATGGACTACTGCCCTCTTGCTTTGGAAGGAGCTATGAGAGACAAAAAACTTGAGCTGAGAATGCTGTACAGTATTGTCGTCATTTAGTCGTGTCCGACTCTTCGTGACCCCATGGACCAGAGCACACCAGGCCCTCCTATCTTCCACTGCTTCCTGTAGTTGTGTCAAATTCATCTTGGTTGCTTCGATGACACTGTCCAGCCATCCAGCTGTACAGTATAGGGCTATATAAATTTGATTAGGGTTTCATTGGTAACTGTGATTCCCAATCCTAGAAGATAATTATTGGAGCATAAGATGCTCTGTTGTAAACCACCCAGAGTGGCCCTGGCTGCCAGATGAGCAGTATAAAAATCAAATAAATAATAATAATGATATAATAATGTCCCCTTCCTTCCTCCCGAATTATATATATATATGCTTCCCTCATGTCACAGTGGAATATCCCTGGTCAGAGCTCCGTATGTTATTGGAAGGGAAGGGAAACATAGCTTACTGCCTTTCTGCTGACACAGGGAGCTGTTGGTATGAACAGCTTCAGTAATATTTTCCCTGCACTGTAAGAACACTCACCTGAGTCTTCTCACTTGATGAAAAACAAGAATGCTTTTGGTGAAGAGGATCTGGTCCTGGAATACTAAAAAAAGTTCTCAAGGGATGAAGATACTTAATCTTCTTCAGCTATATTTTATGTACTAAAAGGAAGTGTTCTTTCCCCATTGAAGGGATGTGAGTGGAAGGAAAAACTGGGATCAAAGAAGGAGGCTGTTTATGCCACTAATGTTATTTGGAATGTGATATGATTGGTTGATTCTGTCATTTTTTTCCTGTGGAGGGTAATATTCTTTGCATGAATGTTAACAAGCCTTTGAGGATGAAGTGACATAAGCATTTTGAAAGCACACAGTCTTGACTGCATTTCTTACTAAGAGCATTGTATATTAGAGCCAGGTAACAAAGACATTAACCTTTTTTCTAGCTTTGCTGGCATTTAATTCTACCTGCTATAGATGTTTCCAGCAAAGATTAAAGTTTTCCTAAAGTTTATACATCTCTCACCACAGAAAGCAATTGTATATGCATGGTAAGAATATATAATTTTGGTGTGAAGCAATAGTAGTGCAAATATCAGATGAAATCTAGTTATGTTCTCCCCCACTGGCAGAATTGCTTTCATCAGCAAAACTGGAGAGATGTCCCCATCTCTACCCATATCCTTAAAGGGTGCTCTAGAGCACTGGTTCTTAACCTTGGGTTACTCAGGAGTTTTGGACTGCAACTCCCAGAAGCCTTCACCACCAACTGTGCTGGCTGGGGTTTCTGGGAGTTGCAGTTCAAAAACAACCGAGTAACAAAGGTTAAGAACCACTGCTCTAGAGTCTAGGAGGTTGACAAAGTCTCCAAAGCAGATTTTAAATGATGGGCTATGGAGGAGCAGCAGATAAGAAAGACTTCTGCTTCTGTTATGCTGAATCCTGTCCATCATGTCTTATACCTAGCTAATATATTAACATAATTACAAAAAAAAGAGGCCAGTTGAAGCCAGAACATTCACTTGACAAACTCTGGTATCCTAGCTAACTGAACAAATAACAAGATGATATAAGACATACACTGCCTGTAGGTTAGCTATATTAAGAAATTGATTCCAAAGGTGCTGACATTTTGTTGAGGCAGACTCAATAGCCAATCTCCTATTAGTTATGCCTACCAACCAGCTCAATCTAAATCTCAGTGGCAAATTGCCTGTAGTGAAAAAGTCAATGGAGGTATTTGTTGTTCCATGGGTGAGTTGCACAACTTAGTGTGCAACAGTAAGTGTCTATGCTGATATCTTAACTTGAATTAATTTGCTGCTGAGATTTATGCTGCAGTTATGTGGCCATAAATACAGTGGTGCCTCGATTTACGAATGTTCCTACTTATGACCATTTCGAGTTACGACCAGCTCTGGCCACAAAATTTTGGTTCGACTTGCGGCCTGAGATTCCACTTAAAACAGAAAAAGGCAGGGAAAAAAGGTGGGAAATCAAATTGCTAACTGTAGGTGGTGATGAGCCTGCTTCTTTGTAGCTCTTTCACTCCAGCAGTCAGAGAGTGTGCATCGGAGGCGGCTTGGGACTGCCTCGCTTCTGCTTCTGAGTGAGTGTGTGTGTGTTTGCAGGGAGGCTTCGGGCTGCCTGGTAAGGTAAGGTGCTGTTTTCTGCTTTTTAAAAACTGTTCTGGGTGTTTTTGCAGTGTGGTTTTGGGCTGGGAGGGTTATGTTTCTATGCTGTGATGGGTGGGTTTTTTTGTTGCTTTTTGGAGTGTTTTTTTCCAATTCGGATGGGTCTTGGGGGTTTGTTTTTTTTCCACCATTTCCAATAGTTCTTGGGAAGTTTGGTTGCTTTGGGGTTTTTTTTTCTCATTTCCGATAGGGCTTGGGGGGGTTGGTTTGTGTTTTGGTTTCCCCCCGATTTCCAACGGTTCTTGGGAGTTTTTGTTGCTTTTTGGAGTGTTTTTTCCCATTTCCAATGGGTCTTGGGGGGTTGTTTGTTTTTTGTTTTTTCCCCCATTTCCAATGGTTCTTGGGGGGTTTGGTTTAGTGTATTTCCCCCCATTTCCAATGGGTCCTGCATGCTTCCCTTGCTTTTTCCGTAGTTTTCTTTGCATTTCCGAACTGCCCCCTTTGTTCTCTGTGCATTTCTGATCTGCTCTGTTTGTTTTCTGTGCATTTCCAATGGATCTTGCATACTTGATTGCTTCCCCCCCCCTTCGGCCGGAAGGGATTAATCATGTTTCCAATGAGTCTTGCAGTGATTTTTTTTTGGTGATTTTTTTCTTCAGCCGGAATGGATTAATTGCATTTCAATGCATTCCTATGGGAAAGCATGCTTCGACTTATGACCATTTTGAGTTACGTCCATCTTCTGAAATGGATTATGGTTTAAGTCAAGGCACCACTGTAGGATTCTGAACAACATTTTAATTAGGGCAGGAGGTGCCAGAACTAACACACAATTGTTCTTGAGTGTAGTCATCTCTCTTTTTAAAATCAAGTATCAGCATGTTTACATTTTAATGAAGAAAACAAAGGCATCAGTTTTGCTCTGATTTGACAATACAAAATTCACAAGCAACTAGTATGTTTTGTCAGTTTTTTGGTTGCTAAAATACGTGGGAGTATGCTTTATTTACATAGGTAAAACACAAGTAAAAAGTCATTCCCAGTGTAAGCAGATCCATATAACCCAGAACCTTATTCTGGGTCAGAATTCCTCATCTGATTCTGTATCCCACTCACAAGCTTCAAGTTCCTCATCCTGTGGAAATGTCACCTCTACATTGTAGACAAAATCAGGATCCTCTTTCTTTTTCCTGTTCTTTTCAAACAGCTCGTCCATTATTCTTTTCCTTTTGGCTAACTCATCATCATCCAGTTTGTTCAGATCCTCTTCTGGGTCAACTGTTTTTTCTTGCTGAACTGCTTCCAAACTTTCAGTCAAACTTTGTCCTTCCAAGTGGTATCGCAGCAAATGGTATAACTTTTGTAACTGTTCCAACGAGACTCCTTCCAAATAGATCTTGTGCCGAGGATTATTCTTTAGCTGCTCTGCTGCTCTGCTGCAGTCTGCATCAAAGGGGGGGGGGGAGAAACCAGGTAACAAAAAAATAATCCAAACACTTTTCAGAAATGTTTTTCCTAAAGGAAGTTGGATACTGTACTGTTTCTGTCCTTATCAACTGCGTACTGAGAAGAGACCAAAATATCACCACAGATGCATTAATACAATCTGCAGACTGAAAGGACATATATTTGAGATGGATTACGACAGAATTCTGGAGCAAGTCTGTTGCTGATGTGCTACATATGTGCAGCTGATGCCAAGGTTAATATCGTGGGATAGATTTCAAAGTGAACTGAACATTTACTGAAATATATCAGGATAGAGAAAGCAAGGGCTGTAAGTCTAGTTCTACTGCTGTTCTTGCAGTTTCCTATACTTTTGTAGGTCATATACTGTATTTTTTCTTTTTCTCTGCACCTATAAGCCTCAAACGGATGCAGTTTGGTTCAGTTATTTATTTACCAGCCTATCTTTCATCTTGAAGTCCATGCAGCTACACAAAATAAACCACAAAACAGAAGGGGAAACATTCTATGAACCAAATAGAAAAGTTATTCACTATTTTTTCAAGAACAGTCAACAAAGGCATCAGAAGGGCTGCTGTCATAAAGACAATGAAATATTACTTAAATTAATTCCCTCCATCATGAGTTAAATTGCATGCCTTAAACCAGTGGTTCTTAACCTTTGTTACTCAGATGCTTTTGAACTGCAACTCCCAGAAACCCCAGTCAGTACAGTTGGTGGTGAAGGCTTCTGGGAGTTGCAGTCCAAAAACTCCTGAGTAACCCAAGGTTAACAACCAGTGCCTTAAACACTAGATTTCTGTTTATGTTTCGTTGTGTTCAATATTTCAGGCTATATATGAAGAGAGACATAAGAGAAAAGAATTCACAGGATGTTCCACAGCTACTGAAGCCAGATTTACATTAGAAATTATGGGGATATGTATGAGTGGAAGTTATCAGGAGAGTTTTGTTTCTATGTGCTTCTTTTATGCTTCATTTCTTTAAAAGTGCCTTATGAACACCTATGCATTTGTTTGTTCGTATATCACAATAAAATTATGGATATCTTCTATAAAAACAAAAAACAAACAAACTTCTATTGGAATTTCTGAAGTCCAGGTAAACAGCACTGTGCAGAAAAGTTTTCTTCTGCAAATTTGTGGGATCATCTTTCTTTTTCCACAATTAACTTTGAAGACAAATTTAGCTATTCCTAGGAATAGAAGTATACTATTATCCTCTTGGCCTCTTTACCCTCATTACACCTGTCTTTTCCAAACCAAGACAATAGTGCCGATGCTACATATGATCTATGCATTAAATGTTAAAACAGTGCATAGAAGAAGCACAATTTATGTTCATCTGTGTTGGAGACATCTTAATTTTCTGTAGAGAGGATTTTAAATGGGGAACTGGACATATCAGTAAAGGATGAGGCTATCAACAGCTACAAGTTATTTCTGCTAGTACCAGAGGTGGTGTGCCTCTGTATTTCAGTTGCTGGGGAGTATGAGCAAGAGAAAGCTGCCGCATTTATGCCTTGCTTGTGGGCTTCTCTGAACTCAATATTTGACTTGAAAGGCCCATTTTCTGTTTGATCCATCATGTCTCTTATGTTCTATATCTGTCAGATGTAACATTAGAAGAGTGAAGCAGCATTCACCCTATGAAGTCCAACATTCAGTTCACATAGTGGACAATCTACTGCCTAAGGAAAGCTCACCAGCAGGACATGAGTGCAACTGCACTCATGAGTTCACTCTAACTGACAAATTTCTATGGTGCATGGGTTTGCCTATTTTAAGAAGAGTTCCACTAAGTCAAGTTAAGGAGGACAGAACACACTCACTCTCTGACATTCTCCTTCTGCAGCAATCAGTATTCAGTGCCTAGAAGGCACATACGGGGAATACCCATACATTACCAAAACAAGCATGAAGTACAGTACCTGAAAACTTGGAGAAATTTCGGACAGGCATGATGCGCTTGCGCATGTTACTCTTGAGCTTATCTTCATAGATTAAAATAATAGATGGAGGCTGTAATCGGATGCCACACTTCTTTGCAACATAAGACATCCCAACTCCTGCCATCAGTTCAGTCAGGAGACATCCCAATTTTCTGTGCCTAGGAGACAAGTTGAGTTAGGAAAATAATAGAGAAAAGCCAAGCAGCAGCGTTTTGAACAGGATCAGTACGACATTCCTCGCACTGGATTACAGCCTCTGGCAAACTGAGA